ATCGACACTTTTGAATGGGCGTCTCAAGGTGGTAGAGCCAAGAAGCGAAAGCATTGGACTATTCACAATTTGATACTGCAAGCGAATTTAGCTCTTCTCGGCAAGGGTACACACTCTATATGGCCTTCGGACTGACCAATGCACTGGCAAACTTGGGAATACGAGAAAGTCGCGCTAATTACCAAGATTAATCTCATCGTAGGCCCATGTTGTTGGTAGTTTGATAAACATATACTCTTCCTCGTCAACGAAGCGCGCAGTATCTCGGAAAATACGACGGTCAAGGAATCTATCTAACAAAGGATTCATCGCTCAGCTTCGACCATCTCATTTTACGCCCCGCTGTAAGAGTAGCAAGACTGTAGATTGTGACAGCATCTATGCCTTTGCTGCTGCCAAATTAGCCTCGATTTTGCTGTGGCCATCCATTGGTTTGAAGCCACGCTTGAACACAGGGCTCTCCTGGACCCTTTTCCAATCATGAAGCATCAGGCCGTTCTCCACAGAGGCACTGACCTCTTCTGATCCCCGCGGAATCATTTCCGCTTCGTATGCGGCGACGGCGCTGTTGAGAGTTGTCCTCTCTTGGAGCACGTCTTTCATGTGGTCCATCAGGTGTGAGATGTCGCAGATACAGTGGTTCAATCCCTGGCCTCGATCTATGGCATGGCCAGAGTGATCAGCACTGAGGGGTAGGCTGACATGTGTCTCATTGGGGGACTTACAAGGAGGCATCGGATGTGCCGCGTCTCCAGCCAATGTCATACGACCCTGATGATTGTTCCAGGGCTGACTGATCCAATAGCTAATATCTGCTTTGTGTACCTCGGTGTCATCAGGCAGCCACATGAAAGCCGATCGAGCGGGTTCACCGAAGTCTTTGGCGTTGGACTTGATGAGGGCTAGTCGTTCCGGGTAAGTCATGGTGTTGTCATTCTCTCCAAGCCAGGCCATGGCCATGTGGAAGGTCCAAGTCTCTGGGTGATCGGGCCCGTCTGGCATTCCCGAGACTGTGGTAATGATTAAGTTAGCGTCGCCCACAGAGTGGGTGGGAATTTCATCGCGTCACGTCCACGTACTCGACTGAAATGCGTGGTACGACTTTTGGCTCAGTGCCAAGTAGCTGGTTGGAAATCTTTGTCGCACATATCTGGCTTTGGCTTCATCGCCATAGCAGACGGTCATGTTGGTATGGAATATTGGGAACTTGGTCACGGCAGCTTTTTCGGCGCTGCCCATCAAGATCTCACGAAGCCGAGACTTTGATCCATCGGCTCCAATGATCATGGTTGCAGAGACAATCGAGCCGTCGGAAAAAGTTGCGATCACTCCGTTGCCGCTGTCATTGCAAGTCACATCTACGAGGGATCTCCCATACTACATAAAAACATTAGTCGATCCTGTCCAATGTGAGGCTTACGGGCATGGAATGAGGGACGGGCACCAAGCGCCTCAGACGAACAAGAGTATTCTTTCACCTCACGTCAACGAAGGGCACATACCTGGACATCAATGCCCTCTGCACAGAGAGCTCGCATACGGCTGCGTGGAACACGGAGGCCATCCTCAAACGGCACGCCGATCATCATATCTCCAGTCTCGGCGTGGATGATGGGATAGAGCCCGGAATGTATCCCAGCCGCGGGGTTGCAAGACACGGCAGGGATTTTGGCATACAAGTCAGCCGGCAGGAGCTCTTTGAGCATCGGCATCGCCCAATGTATCGCCATTGTCCATTCATTGCTCCGGTAGTTGAGGGCCACTTCCTTCTCGAAAATCGAATACCGCACACCCAGCTGAAGACGAAGAGACTCTGTTAGCACTGCCTGCATCAAGCAAGGAATCCTCAGCAAGATATGAACCACTGACTTTCTTCAGCCCTTGGCAGATGAGAAGCCCCGTAATGCCTGCCAGGAAACACATGTTAGTTTGCTTTTGCCGTTCAAGGGCCTCCTCTTCCAACATGAACTGACCGGCGCCTACTACGATGACATGCATATCTTCCTTCATTGTTTCGACTCTGCTCAAGCTTGGAGCAGTGGGATCAATCGTACGCTGGGTGAAGTGCCTGGAAAGCAGCTGTAGAAGAAGCAAGACGCTGGTGCAAAAGGGGTGTACCAGTGTATCGGTTTACTACCAACCTGTCTCCTTAAACAAGGAGTGAGCGAACATAGCCACCGACAAAGCGCTACCCCATTCAGCATCCAAAACGGTTATGGGAGCCAGTTGGCTGAGGCCACTGGGCCCTATGGTGGCCTCGCGCCAGCTCTGCGAGCCCTCCACCTGTCCATTCATGTTGCGGGGCACCTTGTGTGCACAATAGGAAGGATCTCGTTCTGGCAAGAGGGATCCCTCTTATTGTTGGCTCTTGATTGGCTGCGGCGGGGGCAGGCCTAGCTTTGGTGGCCTTGTGAGCACCGAGTGGCTATAAGTATACTGGGTAGGGCCAGCCCTGTTCCGGATTCATAATACTGGGACAAGTACCTTGTACCGAGTAATGTTTTCAGAGTCTCATACGGTGATTGATAACGAAGATAATAAGCACTAGCGTGTTCGCCGTAACCCCTATGTTCTTTTTCACATGCACCCAGCTAGAGTCCACATTTGGAGGCCCAGAGAGCCCTATCTGCGGGATGAATTCCTAGAGTGTATGTACAGGATGCAGCATCTGATGGCTGTATCAAGTCGTTTCGGACAGCGCCGCTCACCTCAGCCCGGCCGGAAATTGATCGCGCCGTTCCGCGGCCTCGGCCTCTCTTTTCCAATCAGCTCCGAACGTATCTGGCGAATGGTCAAATAAAGCAACGGCCGACGGGCGGGCGCGTACTGACGTCTGGTATTGAAAACGTGCTATTACCCTGATCCTGGAGGATTAATCTAATGTGTGAAATTCTTCCGGGAACCATCCGCGGAAAACACAGATACTCCGTATGATTGAGCGTTTACCGAATCCATGGAAAGTAACTAGCGCCGTTGATCCTTCAGGGGTGGAAATGCAAGTGATATCAGGATGATCGGTCAACCTTCTATCCAGAGGCACGGCAAAACTCCGTGGCACAGGAATTGCCCTGGTGGCCATTCATCCATTGTTCACGTCCAGATCGCACCAGGTCTCCGAGCCTGATTTCCTGACAAAACACTGCTTGTCTGTGTGCTGTATTCGCGGCTCCAACACCGGCCCCAGATCCGTACGCCTTGCAGCAGCCTGCGATTGTCGACCATGGCATCAAGCCAAAATACCCCGAAGAAACAGATCATAATCCTCGGAGGCTCTTATGGTGGCGTCTCAGTCGCACACCAGCTCCTCAAGCATGCCATCCCCGACCTGCCCGATAACACCAGCTATGAAGTTGTCCTCATCAGCCCGTCGACCCAAGTCATGTGTCGCCCGGCCTGCCCGCGAGCCATGATTTCCGACCGGATGCTTCCCCAAGAGAAGCTGTTCGTCGACATCGTCAAACAATTCGAACAGTATCCAACGGGCAGCTTCAAGTTCATTCATGGCATAGCAACCAAGCTAGACCACCAGGAGCATGTTGTATCGATTCGGCGACATGAAGGGACCGACGAGATTCTCCACTACTATGCTCTTGTGATCGCGACTGGTGCTACGTCAAAATCGCCGTTGCTCGGTCTTTCAGGAGATGCCAGCGAGCTTCGAGCCCGCTGGGCTGACTTCCGTAAAGCATTGCCACAGGCAAAAAGCATTGTGATTGGCGGTGGAGGTCCATCGGGTGTCGAAACTGCTGGGGAGCTAGGGGAGTACCTTAACGGTCGAGCCGGATGGTTCAGCTCGAAGCTCGAAAATCCAAAAGTTCCCATTACAGTCATCAACGCGCGAGATACCATTCTTCCGCAGCTCCGCCCCAAGATTGGCAGACAGGCCGAGCACCTGCTCGCCAAAGTCGGCGTGACCGTCATCAACAATGTGAAAGTCCAGTCAGTCATCCCGGACAATGTGGGACTTACAATCGACCAACTTACAACGCCTGCGACGATAAGTCTCTCTTCCGATCAGAAATTGACTGCCGACCTGTACATTCCAGCCTTTGGCACCACGCCCAACACCTCTTTCGTCCCACAACCCCTCCTCGCATCTGATGGCCGGGTGAAAACCAACGCCACTACGCTCCGGGTCGATGACGCCGGCCCGTTCGTCTACGCCCTCGGCGACGTCTCCAATGCGGCTCGCCCGGCCATCCACAACATTTTGTCACAAATACCCGTCCTCGCGGCGAATATCAAGCGCGACCTTCTCCTGAACTCGAGCGCGAAGTCCCGGGCGGCTGCACAGGATGCCAATTTCAAGGAGGACACGCGAGAGACCCAACTGGTGCCGATTGGGACGAAGAAAGGGGTCGGCGCCATGATGGGCTACCAGGCGCCAAGCTGGGCCGTGTGGCTGATCAAGGGCCGAGATTACTGGTTGTGGACTACGGGCCGTCTGTGGAGCGGAAAACAGTGGAATTAGCAGTTTGAGGGACGAACGACTCCCCTTTACAGCTTCTCTCCGGGACGTTTGACTTGTAAAATGATGCGCTTTGGTGGATGTCAAATGGGAACGAGTTTTCAGAAGAGAGTGAATATATTTTGTTAGGGGAGGTCCCCGACACTCTAATTAGCTATCCGAGGATTGCAACAGCGATATCCCGTTGTGGAGTCGAGGAGGAACTCGCGAATTATTTCAACATTTGAGGAATTTGGCCGTCCAGCAGAAACAATAAGGCAGAGGGAAGTTAAGACTTTCTACATAAGTTTGGCTATGCTTCCGCTTCCACGCGTTACTTGCACACCGAATGTCATTTCTCCTATACAAAAGTGGTCGGGCAGTGCCTCATTGACCGGCATGACGTCGTGCTTGAGAACGAAAGTCGATCGATGATTCGAATATGACAGCTTGTTGTTGCATATTTGGTGATCAAAGTCTAAATTCTACGTCCTGCTCACTCGCTGGTGCCAAAGATTTCCTCCTGTACGCCACTAGTGATATATATGCCCTACTACCCTTTAAATGAAGGTAACTCCGCAAGGAAATTGCCCACAATAGATGCCATTCTAACCATGCCCGGGCCTTTGTCCATCAAACTGAAATGATTGACGTCGTCCATCACCGCCACTCGTAACTTCTGGCCCCCCAGCACCGTCGACCAGCCCTCGGCAGAGAAATCCTCACGGTCATTCAGCAGCCAGAGCATCTCCCTCGGATCATCCGGGAATGTCTGCATCCTCGGTCCTGCGATACCCTTACTGACACCATCGCGAGCATAGATGATCAATGCCTTCGGGGCCTGGAGAAGTGGTCGAGGCTCGTACTTGTCGAGGATGCGGAGAAATGCATCGAAATGGGCTCGTAGCCAGGTTGGCGTTCTGCCTCCATAGCCAAAGATGCCGAGAGAGTCAAAGAAATCGTACATCCTTGCTGGCGGATTTTGGAGACCAATCGGGTTCGGCGAGTCGAGCAGAACAAGGCTGTGAACATGGAGTCGTGTTCGTTGCATGAGGTATGTTGCTGCTTCGGCCGCGAGAATCCCGCCCGCTGACCAGCCGCCCACGCTGATCGACAGCCCGCGGGGTAGCTCCTGCACAAGGCGCTCCACCTCCACGATATATCTGTCGATCATTGCGCCCATGTCGATGCCAAGACGGATCATCTCAGCCGCCGTCTTTCGCCAAGGGCAATTTAAACCGTAAACAGCAACGTCCTTAGAGTTCATGGCCTCAGCGAGAGCGATGTACGACGAAGCCGAGCCAGAACCGTCTGGAAACAGAAATAAGGCTTGCTTGGCCTGATGCGGTGATCCTGACAGAAGGACGGAGGTTGCGCTGGGTAGAGAGGACAGAGATTGTAAGTGCTCACCGACTCTCATTGTAGCGGAGTCCACAATGCTGGGACGAGCAGCTACAGCGGCATCAGCATGGTCAGCGTGCTTTGCACGGGTCTGTGCGGTGGCTCCTGCGCCGGCCTGCCCTTTGTGCTCCGCGTCTCTCGACCCAGCGGCATCGCAAAGTGCCTTTTCGAGGCTCTGCAGCGTTTCGTGCTCCAGGAATATGCTACTCGTGACAGTTATCCCAAGTTCTTCCTGTAGGCGGCTGCTCATCGTGAGTCCGAGCAGAGAATCAACTCCGATTTCGGCGAGGCTCGCCGAAGGTTGCACGTCCGGGATGCCAGTTTCTTCCGCCACAATCTTTTGCAAGACTGCTGCTACTCGCAGACGTGTGGACAGCCTCTCTTGCGACCCTGATAGTTCAAAAGACTTTCGGGGGGTCGTTGGAATCGTCAGAGGAGTCGAGGAAGAAGAGGGTCCCGAGTCTGAGCCGTAGGTACTGGACGCGCAAGAACCAGGTTGGCTCGTCGATGCCAGATCCCTTTGCTCTAGCCCCTTAAGGAACATTTGTAAGTCCTGAACTGTTGCGCACTCGACGAAGAGCGAAGATGATAGTTCAAGGCCGAGTTCGTCGCGAGCTTTTGCAATGATCGTAAGTGATAGTAGAGAATCGACTCCAAGCTCTGCAAAGTCCATGGTAGCGGTCAACTCCCTAGGATCGACGCCGACTTCTTGGACAATAATGCTAAGCATCTTTTCAAAAGGCCCAGCAGAAGGCACAGAGGTGCGGATGCTGCGAGGAGCTTCTGGCGCTCTTTCCGAGGTCGAGTCAAGGAGCGCTGGAGTAGGGTAAAGATGATTGGAGGGATGTGGACCACTGTTCTTGGCCTGATTTTTTGTGCTTGATCCCAGATTTGATGCAGGCGGAAGGATGCGATCGAGGAGTTGTCTTGGAATTCCTTTGAACCGCACACCTTCATAGACGGCCACGATGCGATCACCATCCAAGATATACGTGTCACCAGCATATGACTCCTTTTCTATCAGGTGCATCCGGTTATAGGCGCGATAGGTTTTCGTCGCATCCAGTTTTTCTGCAAATCGAATGCGTTGCCAGCCATGATTGATGAAAACCCGGTCCCGCAGATCCAGAGTGTCATTAGCATTCATGATGAAGCCAGCAACTTGGCCCAAGCTATCGATCCACCGAGGATCAAGGTGGAAATCGGACTTTCCAACTTGGAAATTGACTTCCGCGGTCGCCTCCAGGTGTTCGCTGTTGATAATCACCTCCGACATGCCCTGGTATTCGTCCTTGTATTGGACTAGCGCACTGAAGAGTCGGTAGACCAATCGCCGCTTCATACGATTGCATTCGCTGTTGCCCTTGCTGTCGTAGACACTGTGGTGAAGGCTATCGATGCGGGCGTTGATGAGGTGCGCAGTGCGATTCCAAGCGGAGATCCAATCTTGTTTGGGCGCAATCTGGACGTCAAGCGTGGCATGCATTTTAGAAGGCTCGTACTCTTCTTTTAGAGAGAAAATCGCAATTTGTATAACACCTGCACGCCATCGTGCTAGCGCTTTGATGCCGATACGATGTGTAGTCTCTGACGGGTGGGCAATTAAGGGGTTGTCAATCTTCGTATTGACAATCTCGAAGCCAGGGTCGCGGGCTTGGTCAGATTCGGGAGATTGACGCAGAAGATATTCAGCCATTGTAAGAGCCACATCCGCATACATTGACTGTGTTTGAAGTCAGCAATCACAACGTGACAGAGTTGTGGGCGACAATGACTTACAGAGGGACAAAGAGCCGCCCCATTCACTCTGTGTCCCTGGAGGATTGGTATAAGACGACCATCGAAGATGTCGGACTCTACCAATATCGAGGACTCATCCGCACCATGTTGCTCTTCGACCACGCGTTGAGCGCACGGTGAGATGTACTTCGGCGCATTAGCTGGTCGATCATTTTTCTGGACCGAAGCTGGGAGTCCTGGACCGTCACCTTTTGTAAGGCAAAAATCGTTGCGATACTGGATCCAATAGTTTTTCAAGTCCCACCTATAAGAGGGAAGCTGGAGGACTTCTTGTGACGCTGCGAAATCCCGATGGTACTCGTTCCATTCCATGTTGATGCCAGATAGGTAAAGTTGTTGGGCAGTCGCTGTTATGATTTTGTAGGCATCTACCCCTCGGCGAAGCGTTGCATGAGTGTGAACTGATTTTGGCTCAAAGGTACCCTTCACCATGTCACAACATATCGGGTGAGATCCGATTTCAAGCCACTGGACGGTTTCCAAACTGCCAAGGTTCAAGTGTGGACTTGCAATGATCGTACGCAGAGCTCCAACAAAATCTACTTTGGCCCGACATGCCGCTGTCAGATATGAGGCATTTAGCGTGAACCCGTCTCCCGCAGGAATAGCTCGAGCTTGTAGCGGTGAGAGGTATGGAATTCTGCTAGGGCGGAAGACGACGGCCTGCGTTGCTGCCTGCTCAAATGCATTGAGGATAGGCTTGATCTGGGTCGAATGGAAAGCAAATGGGATGTCTAAAATAGTGTTCTGGATACCTGATGCACTTGCCGCGGCGGCAACCCGGGAGATGCAGTCCTTGGGTCCTGCAACGACATGAGCCTTTGGTGAGTTGACGCATGCTATCTCGCAGTTGCGTTTCTTGTCGCTATCTTGAAGTAGCTGGGAAACCGCCTCCAGTGAGCCTTGTATTGCGAGCATGGAATGTGTGCCTGGGGTGCAATGTTTCTCGAGTAGCCAAGCACGAGTCCCAACGAGGTAAATGGTGTCGGCAGCGCTGAGGACACCAGCAGCATAGAATGCAGCATATTCTCCCAGGCTATGGCCGATTGCGGCGGTGGGAGATATGCCCCAGCTGTTCCAGAGATCTGTCAGGCCGATTTGTACGCACACCAACGCTAGTTGTGTAGCCACCGCACCGGCCACGTTGCTGTCGAGTGTGCCGTCAATAATTCCAAGGAAATCTGGAAACCCCTGAGCCTGCGCAAGGGTACTGAGATGAAGTAGACTCTCTTGGAAGAAGACATTGGTTGTAAAAAGTGACTTCGCAAGCTCGCTATAGAGCGTCCCCTGGCCTGAAAACACAAAAATGGTGCTTGGATTTGGTCTCTTCAGGATGGGCACAGGCTTCAAGCTGCATCTTTTTGCGCCTAGTTCTTGAATACCAGCCTTGAGGGCCGAGAATATTGACATAATATCTGATCCTCGTGCCGCAAAACGGTAGTTATAGTGCATTCGCCGTGCCGTGGTTGTATACGCAAGTGCTGGAAGTGAAATGTTGCTGCCTTTGTTTTCGAGAAATGAAGCTATGGCGTCCATGTTGCTCAGAAGAGAGTCAGGGGATTTGCCCGATATCGTCACCACATGCGTCGACCGTTGATCCACCGAGATGTTGGCGTTCGATGTGAGAGCTGGCGCATCCTCAAGCAGAATTGCAGTATTGCCACCAGCAGCACTAAAATTGTTTAAGAACGTCACCCGTTTGTTCGAATTTGAGTCCCCTCGTAACCACGGGACAGTTCGAGAGGCGATATGAACTCCCCGTTCCGCCAGGTCCAGCGGATAGTTGTGGTTGATCTTCGTCTTGATCCCACAATGAAGAGGAATCTCATTGTGCTTCATCATCAGCAGCACTTTGATGAGAGAGGATACACCCGAAGCTGACTCGGCGTGGCCTATGTTGGCTTTGGCTGAGCCCAGGAACAAAGGACGATCTTTCGGGCCTTGTATTCTCTGATAGTCCTTCGCGAAAACCGACAACACGGAGTTCATCTCTGTAGCGTCGCCCGCTTGAGTTCCAGTGCCGTGCATCTCTACGTAGCTCACATCCAACGGGTCAATATTTGCATGGCGAATAATGCTGTTGAAAACACTCGCTTGATCTCCTTCGTGTGGGCGGGTGATGCTGTCGGCATTGCCACAATGGTTTGTGTTGGTGCCTGCAATCACTCCAAATATAGGGTCATGATCAGCCACAGCATCTTCAAGGCGTTTCAAAATCACAGTTGCAACAGCCTCGGAACGGCAGTAGCCGCTAGCATCATCATCGAATGCATTGCAGTTCCCTAGATATGTTGTCAGTGAAACGATTAACCATTAATGAACGATGGGTCGTTCAGCTTGAGGAGGACACACCGGTTGTAGAAAGGAAATGACCACGGTCCAGGCCAGCAAAATTGTCCGGGTTGGTCAATACATTCGTACCTCCAGCAACGGTAGTATCGCATTCACCCCTCCATAGGTAACCGCAGGCAGTCTGAATTGCTGCAAAGCTTGAGGAACATGCCGTGTCAATGCTTATACTAGGACCGGAGAAACCGAAGAAGTAGCTGATTCGACCAGGAACAAAAGCGCGATTTCCACCAGGAATAAAGTAGGTGCCAACATCCTGTCCGCTGTTGACTTCTCTCCAGTCGTCGCTGGTTGTACCGAAAAAGACTCCAATTCGATCACTCTGAGTGCTTGGTGTTCGATTAGGGACCATGCCTGCCATTTCCATTGCTTCATAAGCGGTTGTGATTGCCAAACGTTGGGCCGGGTCCGTATTCTCAGCTTCCTTGGGCGACATTTTGAAAAATCGAGCATCAAAAAGGCCAGGTTCGTCAATGAAACAACCATATTTGACACGGCTGGTATTCTTTCTCTTGCCTGATGGATCATAGTGCGTTTCCCAGTTGAATCGACTTGGCGGAATCTCCTGGTGTACATCACGCCCAGCTTTCAACAACTCCCAAAAAGCGTCATTGGAAGCAGCCGAGGGAAAGCGGCCCGAATAGCCAACGATGGCAATTTTTGACTGATCAAAGCGTCCTGTACCGAAGCTCGGTTGCTGGTGGTGCTTCGTTGTCATTGATGCTTCAATGACTTGAACTTGAATCCCCAGATCGTTAGTCAGCCTCGAGGATATCATGGTAGCGGCTCCGCTGGAAAAGTTGATGATTTTACATTCTTTGACAAGAATATGTTTGAGAAGTGTGCTGTATGACGAAATCGCGGCATCCCATCTGATCGGAGAGCGCAAGGCATCATCAACAACGAGCTGAAGGAGATGCTGAAAGTCGGGTACATTGGCGACCTGACCAGTTGCGCAAGATACGAATGGTATCTGAGGCCTGAGGGCTGCAAAATACGGAGAACTACCTCCTAAAACCAATTGTACAATTTTTTGGGCCCGGTTTGATGAGAACAGATGACTGGCGTGATATGGTGATTGGATCTCTAAGTAGCGATACCTGAATGTGCTCGAGTTTGAGGCAGTGAAATCCTGTAACAGAGAAGGCAGACCACTTATGGTGCCTGAGCGTGGAGAAGTGATCGAGCTGACCCATAGTCTCGAGCCTCTTTCGCTTTTCTAACCCATCTTGTCAGTTGTCAAACTCGGCGTATTAGCTATTGTGAGCAAGAGGGGACTAACTTTAGATTCCGCATCCTGATGAAGAATTTTCTCTAAGTCAACTTCTCGATCAGCAGTCACTGTTGCTGACCATGATTCTTCATTGTTTCCGTCTGTGGGTTTCAACGAGAGTTTCTTCCCCATAACATAAGAGAGTAGGGCTGTCTCGAATGCAGCTAGCGTTGACGCACTACCACAAGTGACAAGATGATCAACGTTGCGGAAGCATGAAAAGACAGCAGCCGCGAAGCCACCGGCACAAGGGCCTATGGTGTAGGTGTCTGTTACTGGCAGAGAATATTGTGACACTGTATACAACCTGTAATAGTGTGCTGGTCAGTATTAAAGGTCGCCAGGTAGTGCTTGAGACTCACTCGATGAGACTGGCAATCTGATAAACGGTGAGAAGGAAAAACTTCAGAATAGGTGTCCCTTCTCTCTGGCCGTACCTGGACACCAAGTCCAGGAGTGTGGTGAATCGTGGAAAAAGGGTCTGTTGCTCGAGCGGAAGCGTCCCAAGATGTTGCCGAATAGATTGACTAGTCCTATCGAAGAACGAACACAAGACAGCATTAGACTTGCAATGCAACAATCGTCGCAGCGGCTGCTCAAAGTGCGTGAAACTCAAATCGCCAAAGAGGAAAAGTTGGTGGGTTTCAACAGGCACTTTCTGGGAAGCAGGACTAGAGGGTGCCATTTGGACAAACGACAACTACCACTCTACAGCAGACGCATGTGCACGGAGTACCGAGTACAAGGTTCATGACCTTTCACCAAAGCATTTGGGCCGGCAGGCACTAAGTTATACTGAAGACACCTGAAAAGGAGGCTGACTCTCTTTGCTCTCTCTACCACAGTTGGTCGGTTGCAGAATGTACCAAAGACTTGTCGATTTCGGTAATCTTCTTTTGGCCCATCCTCCAACGTTTCATCCGTAAGATAAATCCTTCGGTTTATGCCCTTGACCAATGCTTATCTCGGCGGAGGAACATATGTATAGAGACCTGCAAGCACGACAAAGTGGGTTGCAGAAGCCTTATCTGGGCCTGAAGCGCCTGGTGTGGGTCTGAGCCACATGGTGAACCATTGGTGATTATGAGACACTGGTACTACGTTTCTCGAATTTCAAACTGTGACATGGAAGGCATCCGCGAATAGACCCACTATCGGAGCGGGTCTTTTAAGACTGGTGCCACTAGGCTATTATACGGAGTGGGTCTTAAGGTTACTAGTACTGTGGGGTGGATCCTTTAAGGCTTTGGGTGGCTAGATAATGATCCATGTTTCTGTGTTTAATGCTCGAAAGACTCCTTGTCGCACAGCCACCAACTCGGGAACTCAGCGCTGCAAAATGGGCACTGCCGAAACAAGAAAGCTCTTCTCAATCACCGTATTTGGCCACAAGCGAGCCGACATGTCTGAGAACGACTACCACGCCTACATCAGTAAAACCCACTCTGGTCATCTGAAGGCTTTATTGGCCAAGAATGATATCGTTTCTTATACGATGGTGAGATTTTGCACCATCCGTTCCGGTCCCGCTGGAGGGTTTAGGTGACTGATGTGAGTCCTTGTCACAGCAACATAACAGCTCGGACGTGAACAAGCCCTATCTGGAGAAAGTGTATGGGGCCGAACTACCGGCTGAAAACGTCTCGGATTGTGATGCGGTCATTCAGATCGTGTTCAAAGACATCGAAGATTACCTTCGTGTGCGGACGGATCCGCACTTTGTGAATGTCGTCAACCCGGATCACCACAATTTTGCAGATCCTACGAAGACCAGATTTTCTATGGGGTGGTTCGAGGTCCACGTATCTCAAGGGAAGGTCGTTTCTTGACCACTGAGGGACCTGAAAGGTGACCTGTCTATTCACCTCCTAAATCTGAGGAAAGTTTGACTATTGTGAGCTCTGAACGTGGCAGTGAGCAAGATGTGGTCTTAAGATGTAATCAATTAAGACGCCTAGTCCGTCCAAGAAAAGTCGTCCGCGAAACTTGACGAACATCGTGCCCTGCGAGGCTTAATACACACAAGTGGTTCCCCGTTCAACTGTTTGGTGTGTGTGAGTGCAAGTGGTGGTGATTCCCTGTTTTTAGCGATGGCGGATGAATAAAGACCTTCATGCAGCAGACGTGACCCTGGAGAAGTATTCCATGTGATTTCGAAGAGACCACGACCGCTATGTGATGAAAACCGTTCGCTGTATGTCACCTGTAATGAGAAAAAAAAATCAGCCTTGGTGGCCCTGGAAAATGCAGACTGCAACTCTGTTTATGCAAGGCAATCGAGTGCGCGTAACTAGTGTCTAAGACGTACCTGATATTGAGGGTGAGCTCCCAAAAAGAGATCAGTCCATTCCTTTGCCGTACGCTGCTTAGCATTGTGCATAGTCATCAAGGTCACGTCTCGCCGCCGATAGATCCTTTCCACGTATGGTTCAAATGTTGCCCACGCTGGCGAAACGAGGTCACAAATCAGTAGCGACGCTCCAGCATCCGATTGGAGGACAGGAACAAATGTCTGTAGCAGCCTGGTGATTTCAGAGTCCTTCATGCACCACAGCATGTTGCGTATCAGGAATGTGGTTCGCACAAACTCGTTAGAGCCTAATTTCTCTAGCTCAATCTCCTCGGTATTACGCATCCCGAAAGTATCCCGCTGTCGAAATCGGACAGAATTGCGGAGCTCAGCGCTGAGCAAGCTTTCTCCGTGCTCCACGACCTCAAGGGAGGGGTTCTGGACTTCGAATCGTATGAATGGGAAGAAACGCGCAATCCGTCTACAAAATGCACCGTTGCCGGCCACTTCGATGACCATGAGCTTGATCTTTGAGGGTTCGTTGGCAGCGAAACGAGCTAGGCGATCGATTATCATCCCGTCGCCAGGGTCGAGTGCTGCATGTCAATTATCAGCTTAAATATAGCAACCAGAGGCATTTATTTCACATACACTGAGATACGCTCTCCATGGCCTGGGCGAATCTGTCACCTTTCTCAGGGTGCAATTCATGCCAAGCATACATGGGCACTCCCCAGCTAAGATAGAGACTTGTCAGTTCCTATTCAGTCGAGTTGCCTTCGGGACAGGCTTGTACTCACGCATGTTTGAATGCACTCCCACCGTCCCCCCAAAAGTCTCGGCTTTCCAGCAGCGAGTCGGATAGATGTGCACTTGCAACACGTGTCTCAAAAAGCTGAAAGCCAACCCAGCTTCTGAAGCCCTCGTCCTTGACAAGCTCCTCCGAGATGGCGGTATGAGCAAAACAACCTTCAGCAGGCTCGTTCAAAATTCCAGCAGTGGCAACAAGGCGGCATAGGCGTAACAATTTTGCTGATGGAAGACCTGTTATACCAGCGAGCTGTGATACCTGGATTGGCGTCCCATCCAGGGGAATGCTCGGGAACACTTTCCAGTCAAGCAGGGTATATAGTGCCCCATGTTCCCAATTGACTGACACATATTCATGGAGGATGCCACGAGGACCTTCGAGCAGATTGTCAAGGCGCTTTGTCAGCGACGTTATCGTGGACCGCAATACATGGACCTCCTGCACCTCCGTTGTCCAGAGCAGGGACACGGACCCCGGAGCAAGGTCCTTGGGTACTGTGATTGAATGTCGTTGTAAGCACTCGGAGAGAACGTTTGCCTGCAGGAGAATTTCTTTGCTGATATCGATGATGGGATTAGATTGTGAAGCCATTGCATGTACCGGTGACGCTACAGAGCTGCAATAGATGGTGGAAGAATCTTGGTTGCTCTGATTTGGTAGTGTAGCTGTGACAGGTTGTCGTGGAAGAAAATTTGGTCAGGTCTGCAAGCTCTATCTGGTCTGGATATGGCTCTCTGCTGGCGCCACTTCCGATCACACGCTGTTGGGGCTGGAATTACCAACCCTGCTGGCCTTGATTACACCAGTTGCCAAATGGACACAGGAAGGATCGGTCGCCTTGTCTGAGGTTTCTACGTGGAATGAAAAGGCACATGCCTCGTTATCGTTACCTTGTCTTGCACACGATGTGCTCACACGACGGATCCGGTATCGAATGCATGTCATCATCGGGGTTTAGGATATGGTGGATACAGGAGGCAAATCGGGCAAGTACCTCGTACTAGTAGTAAAATTAAGCCTCGTATGGTCTTGTATGGCTCCACTAGCCAAGTTCAGCCCGGGGCCTGAGCATCACTTTAAGAAGAGCCAATCGGTCAAATAGTATGCGAAACGGCTCCGTGGTCCGTCCCATCTCCCCGAGGATCCCCTGAGCCTCAGTGGCCGCCAAGGCAGCCAGCGCACTAGCCCGATCAGGCACAGTTGATCGACGAAAGGGGTATGGAAACGCATTACCTCGTATTACTCGAAATCCTAAGGGCTCGAAACCGTACAAACGAAGTTTCTTGAGATTTTACAAGCATATTTGGAGTTTTTATCCCTCAACCATGGATTAGTGCTGATGTCTCGCCAAAGCGGTGAGTGCAAAATAGTTTCAGAGCAGTCCAGGCCTGATATCAGAAAGCCCATATCATGGAGCTGCTTTACTATGCGCGGCAACTTCACGGCCGTCGACCTATCTTGCAACCGCAATCATGGTTTCAATCCTATCTCCTACCACAGTCCCCTTGCCGAGTGTCGAAGTTGTCAAAAAGAGCGCTGAGGAAACCCAAACCAATGGCACCACTACCGGTGCAAACTACTGGTGGAACACAAGTGGTGCCGACCTCAGTCGAATGCTTCAGGAGGCCTCGTATCCTGATGATGTTCGAAGGCACTTTCTCGACTGGTACCGTGACAACATATGTCCACTGCTTGGCGGTCGCCCACAAAGTGACTCTCCCAAGTGCGCGATAGGTTGGGACGGCAATCCTCTGGAGTTCAGCTTCGAGCTCAAAGGCTCAATCAAGAAACAAGCAGTTCGATTTGTGGTCGACCTGAGTCAGCTTCGTCCACAAGACTCAAACAATCTCCTGAACCCAGAAAACACTCAAAAGCTCGTCGATGTGCTGTCTAAGGAGCAACATGGTTTTGACGACCAATGGTACAAAATTTTGAAAGAATGGTTCGTCTACGACCATCTACCTATTGACGAGCAGCGAGCCTTGATCGAAAAGGCGGGCCAAAGCAGTCCCGTCATTGTCGGGTTCGACATTGGCCCCAAGCTCGAGGCGGCGTCTCAACTGCCGGTGATGGGCAAAGTGTACTTTCTTCCTTGCTTCAGAGCTGCCGCCCAGGACGTGACCCACTGGCAGGCGGTCAGTGCAGCCATCTACCACCTTCCCAACGTCCATTCTTACCCAAATATCCTCAAGTCATGCCAAATGATCACCGACTATCTCTCTGACAAGCCTGAGCCCTGGCGGATGGGAACGCGCTGGCTCGCCACCGACCTGATTTCGCCAGCAAAAGCACGCTTGAAGGTCTACAATCGGTGTTTCGCCACGGACTTCGACAGCATCTGGGACTACTACACCCTTGGCGGAAGAATCCCCAACCTCGATGGAGACAAAGACAAATTTCGAGACTTGATGGATTGCCTGAGCGGAGTTTCGTACGAAGAAAGTCGGAGCAAAGATGAGATGAACATGAAGAGATTCTCTTCGATGACGAAGAAACTGACCGCTGTTTATTTCGCGCTGTCAGCAGACCACCCTTACCCGGTGCCCAAGCTCTGTCTATACCCGTCCAACTTTGCACCAAACGACCAAGTCATTGCCCGCGGTCTCGATACTTGGCTGACGAAGCACGGATGGGAGGACGACGGCAAATCCGTTGAAAAGCAGGTGAAAAGCTCCTTGTAAGTACCTTTTCCGGTGGCCAAGCTGACCTTTGCTGAAACACAAATGACTAGCACTCACCGTGCCCTGGACGAGCGCACAGGGATCTTCACCTTCATTGGCATTGGCCCGAAAGGCGATCCGACCCAAAGCCAGTTAACCATCCAGGCATACGTGACACCGGAGCTGTACATACAGCCACGTTACTAGATGGACCTGAGAACCATCGGGAAGGGCGGTCGGAATAAGTGTCGCAAATGTTATGGTAGTTGAGCTTTTCCCTCTTCAGATGGAAAAAAGACTGGGATATGGAATTGAATAGATTGTAAAGCAGAGTCTCAGCTTTGCTGATAGAATATATGCAGGCCTTGTCTAGTACCAACACTTCTTCAAGAGGTGCTCAGCCACGCAATGGCGGCGGCGAATTTCCCATTCAGAAAGTCTTCCTTGAAGTTCCTTCAAAACAAAATCCCACGATGACGGAGTCCCCCGCCTGCACCGTCTTTTCTACACCCTGTCTACGCAAGGACTTTCAAGAAGTGTGAATCTTCCTCGTTCGACTCAATCCGTCATTTTGCTTCAAAGCACCTCAACGCCCCGACGTGGACGTCAAGCAGTGCGAATCACCGAATGAAATGTCCCTCCTCCAGTGTTAAGGAATAAGACATACAGAAGCGCGGCACCAATGCAAGACTTCCTTCGCTGCCTTCGCTTCATCCATTCATGGGTTGGTCTCATGATTAGTACAGAGTATTAATCCATGCATAAGTCAATCTAACGATCAGTATTCAACCGAGCCACGTTGCCCGGTCCGGCGTTCGAGCGTGGTTGAGACGGATTTGCCGGCTAGGTAATCATCACTAATATTGCCCTGCGAGTAAAGGCAAGGAAAGATGGGGGCCGTCGTCGGAGATCAGCAACAATTTCCTTAATGTGCCTGGTCCATTTTATCCACCTGAGCCCTCCTCCATTTGGAAAGAGGCATAACTACTCCATGATCGTGCTAAATATTACACCGGAGATTTTCCTTATCTAGAGCCCCTTCTCCTTCCTCATAGGCACGCAAATGTGTATACCGCAATCTTTTCACAAGTGGTTCTCGTGCTCAGATGTGGGTCCAGACGAGGCGAATGGGTGGAGTTGCAGCTAATCACCGTTCGTCTTATTAACAACAGGGGGGATACCTAGGAGGCCGGCGAGAGCGCACATTGACTCAGATAACCCGCCTGGCTTTGGGCGCTAATATAACATTGCCAATACTCTTCGATAGGTTGCGATACTTCTCGACATTTACTGTGAGATAGATCGAGTGTCGAGGTTAAAAGATCGATACAGTGATGGCCATTGTCAAGCGTTGCCAGTTTGATTGCTAGTCTGATCGCCTTTACTAGCAAATGCCAACAGCGCCATTTACATCACACCGTTGATCTGGAACAGAATGAGGCCGCCAGGGAATCCTCAGAAATGGTACGCCCAAACCAGGCAAAAGTTCATACAAATAGTTAGAGTTCGCTGGATAAGCAGAGAGAAAGACACGATTAAGATAGATCATTGATCAATACTATCCGTTCAACTGAACACAGTTCTCGATATTACAGATCAACGCGGGTTGCAGGGGAATTTCCGGCCGACTTTGGCGGTCAGTACCGCCGCTCTTAGAGGATTTGTCCCCTCAAGATCGCTCAGCGCCAGTCCATTCCCGCATCAACCCCCATCTTCCTATACACCACGCAACTATGCAACCAGCACAGGGGACAAGAAACCGTCCCCCTTTCAGAAACACTAAGGGATCCGTCCAACTCTTCAAAAATGATGAGTGCCTTCGATCGCACTGTCATGTCACTTCGAGGACCTGGAAAGACTGTTCTGTGGGTTTCTTCACTGCCGTAGAGAGGGCGTTTTCCAACCTTCGCAAGATCGACTCGAAGTACAATCTATCATCTATCTCCTCTCCTCTTATCCATTCTAGTGACCTTACCCAAATTTGATGTTTAGGCCGGACACTCAAAATCTTATTATTTTGCCGTGCGTGAGGAACTCCTTCTAAACTTTCCTATTCTTCTTGTCAGTGACGTTTTCGTATCGTCTAACACTATTAGTAAAGAGAGGAAGTTTAGGAAAGAAGGCACTTCCCGGAAGCGGTATGGCCCTACAGCTTCTCAACCAGAGGTAGACAGTCCAATGTTCGGCCGAGTGTTATCGACGACACTGTCAACAACTCGCCGAGAAGGGTACTGTAAAGAAATCACATGTAGACTCTTCGAAAGAAATATTTGGGGAGTGATGAAGTGGATACGGTAAGAGAGTGAAGTATATAGTACCTACGAATAGAAGACATTACTAATGGCGCGACAAGTCGGTGTGATTTTCTTGGTGAAAATCGGCCTGACTTCCTTATATAGTAACAGAGCACTTCAGGGTTTGCCATACACGTGCAACGACGTACAGATGCCTATCCAGCAGGTCGGGAATCGAGAACTCGTTTCTAGTCGGTGCTGACAGGGCAACACCACCAACGCCACCCCCAGAGAGGCAGTGGCTAATGCAACGAGCGCCTAGCTCGGCGGCGGCAGTGAGGAGGAGGAAAGGACCGATAAGACACTCAGGAATAGGTAGACGGCACCAAAATCATAGGATAATACTCTGTTCTCTGTGTAAAGAATGGCACACTGCCAGCACTGTAAACTATCCTTCACTCTTAGTCCTTTTTGGTCCAACATGTGACAAGACAACTCTCCTTCCTGCTACCCTCCCCCCCCCCCAAAACATCCCAGCACAGCCACTTTGCCTTGTTACAATATAATGCGTACACTAACGGTATGGGTGTAGTAGGTTCTGTTGTCCAAATGAGTGTGTATTCATTGCTCTGTCGACCACCAGGATCAACAGGTGTCTATCTGTGAGATATTTACTCCAAACGAGTGTCTGTAAAGGAGTACTATTGTCACAGGATTCAGCTCAACAGGGCACTCTGTATCTGTCCAGCTGAAGAAGGGACCCAGCTGAGTGAGTGCGGTAGCGAGGCTATACGAGGCTGACTCGGTACATTGATCAACAACGAGCTCGACGTCGTTGGTATCCAATTGTTCACAGTCCAACAGGTTCACTCCTGCCTTTGGCTATGGCGCGGTGGCCTCCTCCATTGAGCCATCCGATTCCCCTTCAGCTTATTGTCCTTGGCCAAGGACCCATAGGGACTTTGAGATCAAAATGTCGAATGTCGATAAACCCAGCTTGCTTTAACTGAGCTTCCCATCTTGATCTATCATCGACAGATCTTCAGTCACTGTCAACCACAGTGATGAGAGGCAGTGGCATGGCAAATGCAAATCACCCGAGTCCAGAGACGCGCAGCGCAGATCCTCACAGTGAGCCTCCCGGACAACCGCTGGAGCTTCAGTGGACGTAGAAGCACACCTGCTCTCGGCGGCACAAAAACTCGACTAGACAGTAATGCGAGCGACTAAACCCATCAGAATCACGCCTCTCTTCGCTGAGACGATGTCACGAGCCCACCGTTGTTCCCAAGTACCCTACGCCTTCCACCCGAATCGGGTGAACGGTATAGGAAGAAAAGGATAAGGCAAAGGATGGTTGAAGCACAAGCTAAGGAGAGCAAAAGCACAAGGCTATCAGTTGACAAGGCTGTCGGTTAACGCCACCTTGCCCTTTTCACGTGACAGAAAGAGGGGAAGCTATAAGAGTTCGGGTGAGAGAGAACTCTTCCTTTTTCTTAAGCGTTGGGTCGTTGTTAATAGGACTACGTGACATAGAACAAGGCATTCAGCTAATCCAATTCTCTGTACCTACTGCGTAGCGTAGGTCCCTGATAGACAACCCCTCCAAGGACAACCAAGCGGCACAAAGCCCCCCCCCTTCCCCCCCAGGTAGTCATTGAGCATCCTCAAAAGCTACGACGGCACCAAGAACGACTAGCTCGAGAAGCGTCAACTGCATGTTGTCCTTCCATGGAGGACTCCACCACTCATGATGATCGCCATATATCGAGATGTTGGTGTCAAAGAACATGACGCCAGAGCTCGCAATGACTAGCTTGGGTAGCTATCTGTTTGTTGGTGGGCTGTTTCTGGACGAGAGAAAGGAGCAGCAGGAGAAGAGCGGGTAGAGAAGGCTAAACAGCCCTCGGCACCAAGCTTACGAGCCAGGATCACGAAGACCCAGGTTGAAAACGCAGTGGTCTATCGCATGTTCGTTGCTGCAAATTTTTCCCGCGAACTCATAACGAAGGAAACGATCGGACTCGAGGAATCCAGGATAAGGAAATCTTCTAAGGCTCTCGCACGAGGCATTCTTTTGAAAATCCTCGCAGGTCTTCGCGATCCTGGCTTACATCAACATGATTTCATCAATCCAGGATTTCTTCGAGCAAGCCTTTGGGGTGACTCTCTTCCTGTGACTGCACAAAGTCTTAAGCGGTATATACACTGCTCCAACGCTGACATTTTGCTCTTCTGTGATGCTCAGCGGATGGTGTTGGCCCCAGTCTTCACAAAACATAGTTTCGTCTAAGAACTTCAGGTTGCATGTCCTCTGCTATTCACGTCAATCAACCAGAAAAGCATGAGATCGAGCGCCTTTAGCATCGTGCAAGGGACTGCAATTCATCCGGTGCACCGGAACATCATTTCAGTGGCAACTCGGGAGGTATTGGTTCCGTTGAACCCATGGCTAATAGACATCCTCTTAATTACACAGGGCGCTACACCGATCGTTGCGGTCAAACACCTATTGCAGGAACTGGAGAAGTCCGGTCACAAGTTGGAAGTCCAAGTTGAAATAAGCAAACTAAGTCATTCGCACTTGATGAAAGCTTTAGCGGCGTACATAATAGACATCAAGGAGAGGCTCATATTTCAAAGAGCTGAAGGAGGCAACCTGAGGGATACCTGGCATCAATTGGACAATCCCAGGACGACAAACGAAGAACCTGATAACATGGGTGCTTGGGCAGCTCTGTGGTCTCACTGATGTAGTCAAGACCCTGCCACAGGAACAAAGACTTCGGTACCCTTGTGATCGGAGCTATGGGGCTTGCCGTACTCAATCCCCACAATACTGGAAGACAACAAAACACCACCAGCAAATAGGATACCGTAAAATACCAGTACTCTGAAGACGCCACAGCGTCTCGACCGCCGGTGTCGGGTGGATCTGACGTATGGTTTTCGGATGAATTCTGCTGGAGTTCA